AAATTCATCGAAGCATAAATTTCTCTGCATTTATAATAACCATACTCGCGTTTCTTAGTATATTGATGTCAACTATTTTGACTTTGGAGTGGGACTAACGCGTAAGTAGTCTACATACTAACATTTTCCGAACGTTTCCACCTCCAGACACGTTTTTCCCGGAGATTCGCAAAAATAAATCGTCCCATAAAACCGTCTCCGTTACCGCGACGTATTTCAGAGGACGGGACGCGTCGCGCCGTACCGATCCTAAACGCGAGTATTCGATGCTCGGTGGCTCGTATTTTTCACACTTGGCGTAATTTTACGATACAATGAAACCGCGGCTCGGCTACGTACGTACATATGTATGTATGTAGGTATCTCTCGCTGACCTGACGTTTGAGCGACGCCCGCGCACCGGAATAAAGCGTTTCCGAAAACGACATGCGCACCAGCCGGTGGCTATCGTAAACCAGGAGTTTACTTCCGCCAGAAATATCAAACCGTCCAACTTTTGTCCTCCCGTTATATCTTTCACAATATAATCTTCGAAGCAAGGAAAGATCTTTTAACAATTTGTTTGTTACAAAACAAGAAATTAATATCTAAATCTCGTATTTATTAGAATATGAACTATACTGATTAATCTTGTCATGTTTCAGAAATTGCGGATAACTGTAACAAAGTTTTAGAAATTACAGATTTTTTGGGAATAAATTCGTTCTATTACGACTTTTATTGAAATCAGATTTATTACTGCGGGAACCTGATATCCTGCTTCCTGTCGCCCAGCAAATTTCCGGCGAGGAGTTTACCATCCGTTCGACTCGTTCTAAGCATCTGTGCCGCGGCCCAGCTCAATGAAGCCCGCGGATTTTCGGAAAGTTTACGCCTCGCAAATTGCCCCGCTCCATTTTCCCTTCCCGAAGTTCTCGATCGCGTTAACCCACTTACCCTCCGTTTCTTTTTTTTTTATTTACAACCCGCGAGCAGGCCTAGCCTAGAGGAGGTCGCCGCGCCGGAAGCTTCATTAGCAAGAAGCAGCGTCGATTTATCAAGAGCGTTTTAATGAGCACCTCTTAGAGGACGATTTTTATTCCTTGAACTGGGTCACCGCGGAAGAAAAGGGAGGAGGGCGACAATGGCGAGGATCTTTGTCTGGCCGAGGCTCGCCATGGAAATATCTAGGTATTCGGGATATTAAAGACTCGGGAGAAGCGGAGACGTAGCGATCGTATCGATCGACGGAGGTAAAACACGTAGAAAAAAAAATGCTGCATCGAAGAAAGAAGACAAGCCAGGAGGCAGAAAGGTGTCACTGCTCATTTTCCAGTCCGGTTTACTATTTTTATCCCGGTTACGGAAAAACGAACACTTACGGTTGATTATAAAAATAATTTCCTGACGATGGGGCACAGGTTTATGGATCGGCCGGCTAGAAAAGAGCCTCATCAATCCTATGTAGATTCCACCGTCGATTGATGTTCTGCAGGAATGTGAAAAATTTCGGTAGACACTTTTTAGCAAACTCCCGTGGAAAATATTCTGATTAATTGCCGTGTAGAACTAATCCTCTGACTTCTTCG